TGTGTGTCTCTGTCTCTGTGTGTGTCTCTGTGTGTGTGTGAGACTCACGCCATGACGATGACGCTGAAGTCCAGCCAGTTCCAGGGGTCCCTCAGGAAGGTGAAGGGCCCCACGCAGAAGCCTCTGGCCAGGATCTTGATGAGCGACTCGAAGGTGTAAATACCTGTGAAGGTGTACCTGGGCGGGCGAGCGAGGGCACACAGAGAGGAGAGAGAGGAGGAGGAATAAATAAGAAACAGACGGATAAATATTGATAAAAGCTTCTGCTGAACATCCTTCACTTATTCATCTTGTTGCAGCCATCAAGTGAAGCGGAGGAAGACATGAGGACAGAGAGTCACGTCAGGCTGAAACTTTAACGGACGGGTCCCTTTAAGGGCCAAAAAGCTCCAACCTGAGGAGCTGCAGCTAGCCTGACAGTGTTAGCGTTAGCCTCAGTTAATCTGCTCAGCCTGATGGGTTCAGACATGTTTCCTCCAGACTCTGACATTTGCAGCCTGACATTTCTGCTGCACATGATTCACCTCTGACCCGCCTCAGCGCCGCCACTTCCTGTTCATTAAACACATCTTCATCACATCGCCACATCCTCTTCGTCCTCATGTCTGCAGACGGGACGGTTCTGGTACTTACTCCAGGTACTTGGCCCAGTTGGCCGGCTCCGACATGGCCATGAAGCAGCAGTTGGTCAGGATGGTGCACATGATGAACAAACTGAACAAAGTGAGCAGGTTAAGGAGGAACAACGTCTCACATTTAACACAGGAAGACAAAGACCGACTCGTTTCTATGGATACCGCAGTGAGTCAGCCCTACATGCACAATCTGGGGGTGTGTGCGCTCATTTCCAGCTGGGATCCCCAACATGAGAAATTCAAAGTTTTCTTTTGGAAGTGGGAAGTTTTCTTCTTCTTTGTTGGTTTTTAGTATTTTTACTGATGTTTGTTTTTCTAACAGGAAGCAGGAAGTGAAACCAGCCCAATGCTAGCAGGCCGAGATATTTACAGGGCAGCGGCTACAGTCTGTCCCTGAGCAACGTTACTAATGTATGACAGGACATTTAGAACATTAGGATGTATAATAATAATAGTAATAAAATGGAGATCTATTTTCTTATTTAAAACTAAGACATTCCCTCCACAGTCAAACTGAATGGACCACATTTCACTCCCACATTCTGGATTTTCAAAATAAATTTACGTTTCAATTCAGAATCCAGTCGTTTTTATTCATAATATTAAATATTAACTTTACACAGTTAAAGTCATTCAAACCTCTTTAGTTTTGGCTCATTTGGTTTTTCAGTTTGACCAAATTTTTACATTTTCAAAAGTATTTTTTCCAACATTTAATGTAATTTTATTTACTGTATGAATGAAATCATCTTACCTTTAACTACCTGCTGGTCAGTGCAGACAGGTGAAATCAGTTTTGTTTAACAGCTGACTGCTGTTAGCAGAACATGAATCCAGTCTGAAGTTTCCTCAGAAAGTCAAACATGTGAGAAGCTAAAAACAGGCTGCGGCTGCTGGTTAGTCATTGGTCAGAGTTCGGCACAAAGAGAAAAACAATTACTCTGAATTTACAGTCATTTTCTGTAATTTGCAGCTCTTAGTCACGGAGGTAAAACGTCTTTGCCGTTTTGTTAAAATTCGGGGAACTGCAGCTTTTCTCTGAGTTTCAGCTAAACTCTGACATATAAAAGCAGCGCGTCTGATTTTAGCCGTCAGTGTGAGGAGTTTACCTTCCACGTCTCATTAGAGCTAAATAAAGATGAAGAGTCCTCGCTTCCCTCTGATTCCTGCCACTTTCAATACAGCAAATTAATCTGCCATTAGCGCCCCCCTTGCAGGAGAGCCCACTCTAATCATGTCATAATGGGGAGTGGGAAGTTTCCAGAGTGTCAGCAGCAGCAGAACAGGTTAAATATCACCTTCACCTGCCGCGCTGGGTGGAGGAAGCCGGCGCAGCCGTCAATCACAGCTATAAATGAATCATAATTATTGTAATTTGGCAGAGGGAACATGCTGCCGGAGCGAGAGCGGCCCAAACTCAAAACTTGTTGACTGAGCTGCGGCTGGCAGCTGGTGAGATAATACGGTTAGCGCTCGACAAACAAACGTCCCCACGCCGCGCAGCCAGAGGCTAATTATCAGCTAATGGTAGCCCTGATGCTGTGGCCCTCCCAGGCCACCGTACAGCTAATGTCATTACACCTCCCACTTCCTCCACGGGATCCATCTTCCTCCCACTGCCTCATTCCACTTCTGATTTCCACAGATTCTGCCATCTTTCCCCTCCAGGCGACCCGATCAAGTCGATGTTTCCTTTGTCTTCTGGGTTAAAACCATCAACAACCAAGAAACGGGTCAAACTGAAGCTTCAGTTGATAAAAACAATCTAATTTTATCTAAATGTAGGTGATAAGAGAATCAACTGTAGGTAAGATGCTGATTAGACATAAGCGCTCACCATCACCCCACTTTGACAAAATTAATTTTCCTTATAAGCTCTAAACATTCTGGTGTTTTTATTGCCGTGGTGTATTATGTGTCTTTACATTTTTCTGTCTATGAGGATCATAAGTCTGTTAAATCAGTCAAGCAAATTCACCCTTTGTGGCTTTTCAGGTTCTAGCTGCTAGCGTAGCGAGGTGAGCTGCAGGATGTTCTTCCAGGTATTTTTGGGGGAACCAGCCCTTTAGGGAGGAAGAATTTTAACATGCTAAAGTTTAGCCCCGCCCCCTGACAGCAAAGTGGGCGGAGCCAAGAGACAGTGGGAGGCGGGGCCAAGTGTTGACATCAGAATGAGGGAAAACACCCATTAGCTTAGCAACTTCTCAAGCTCTTTAGCAACTTTTCTTCAAAAAGCCACTCATGACAGATTTAGTTTTCTGAGTTATCAGAGACGTTTACAGCAACGTGAAGCAGCAGTCGCTCTGAGCGAGCAACAGGAAACGCTTCCAACTCCTGACTTGCCACCAGGGGGCGTGTCTGAGTGAGAGGGTTTTATCCCCAGACTTTAGGGTTGACCCCAACCAAGCTGCTGGATCCAATAGGACAATTAGACTGCAGTAGCCACCGTTCGCCTGAAGAGGGCAGCAGAGAAGGAAGAGCTTTAATGCTAGTGGCTTTTTTGAAAATAAACTGGCTAAATATAGCAGCCAATTCAATTCTCTCATCCTGCTCATTCCTACACTTGGTCACGCCCACAGTGCCCGTTGGCTCCGCCCACTTGGCTGGAATTTGTCAAGGGGCGGGGCTAAGCTTTCACAGAGTTTCGATACATTTTAAAATGAAAATATCAAATCATTTTCTCTGGGAAAACTACGTTGTTTTAGTTGTTCGGGTGCAGTCTTATTGTTTAGATTTAATCACCTTGTGATGGTTCTGAAAAATGTTAAATATAAACTATAAGCTGAATATTAAAGACCCAACGGGTCAGAAAACCTGCATCATGTTTTCTTGTGTTTTTCCACTTTAACATCCTCATTTAGTATTTTATGGCAGAACTGTCGTTTAGTTCTGGTTGTTTTAGTCTCTGGTTCTGCGGTTTCGGTTGCCTTCCTCAGAACCAGAACCTCCATCCCGATTGTTTCTCACACCTCCGGAGACGGGCGGTCAGCGCCGAAGTGACGGACCCGTTTGGATGGGTTCTGTCAGATAAAAGTGGTTCTGATGGAGAATTAGTGAGTGTGTCCGCGGATCACGCCGCAGCCTGTCAGGGTGGCGCCGCCGCGGTCGGGCAGTGCTCCAGAACACACTTCATCCTCCACAAACACTTCTAGAGCCCAGACTGAAGGTCCACTTCACTCATTCACACACACACACACACACACACACACACACCTCGCTGCCGACCTCCTCACCCGCCGATCCCCGTGACGACGGCAGCGCGGCGGCCTCCAGCAGCAGCCGCTTCCCGCTGTAAAAATAGCCGGTGAGGATGGAGGCAGTGGAGGTGTGAAGGAACGTCTGACATGTTGGCTGGAGCCAAAGGGGGCGGGGCTAAAGGGGGAGGAGCTAAAGGGGCGGGGCAAGCGGGGCGGGGCCAACACACCACAGTTACCATCAACATCTGGCCTGAAGCATGAAGGTTTAACGGTGAAACGAGCTTTCTTTACATTCAAAGGTCAAAGGTCACACAATTTGATTTTAGAGCCAGAAAATGAATTCTTTAAAGAAACACTTTAGAGCCTTTTTATTGGGTTCTAAAGTGGATCAAACATAATTAAACCACAGAATCGAAGCGTCTACAACAGGAAGTCACTACCATATATAGACGCTGGCGTAGCCTTTATGTAAATGCTTTTTTTTCCTTTTCTTTAGTTAAATCATATTAAAATTTTCTGTTTCATTTCAACTAGAATCACCAAAATTATTTCTATTTTCTAAAAGCCTCATTTATTAAAGCACAGTTTCCTAAACTTCACCATGTCAAGAAATTCTGTTTTTATGATTATAATTAGCAGAAAAAATGCATCTGATTTAATTCATCTGTAATTTAAACATTTTCAGATACATTAAGTTCTGGTAAAGACAGGGAGTCGGGTTTTATCCTCAGACCAGCTGCATTTTAACCTGAGTGTTTATTTCTGTGTGTGTGTGTGTGTGTGTGTGTGTGTGTGTGTGTGTGTGTGTGTGCAGATCTGCTCTGATTAAAGCCGGTCGATACTTCCTGTTTCTGTTTGTGGTCGGCGGGCGTTTCGTGGCGATACCCGTCCGTCAGTCCGGTCTGGAGTCCGTCCAGGTAAAACTGGTCAAAGGAGATTCCTGGCCGTTTTCGGCAGCAGCGCTGCGATTAAAGCGCCTGAGTGACTGATGATGTGTGGGCCTAAAAGCTCTGAGACATTTTTATTCTTCTAAATGGGAGCAGCGCTGCCAGCTTTTGTTTTTATTTTAATGAAGTGTAATTTTTAAAAAATCCTCTACATTTTATTTATCACCCTGGAATTACTTCAACTACATTAACGGCATTTAATACGAGTTATCAGCAGAGGAGGGATTTATTATTTTCACATCATGTCTACTGAGCTCAGTTCAACAGCAAACATTTATTTTATGACTCCAGCAACATAAAATAACTAATATTCAAACAAAAGGATCCAGTCGTGTCGAATAAACAAACATCAGCAGCTGATTCATAAACAGAGCTGAGCGTTTATCAATTATCCAGAAAAATTTATCGTCATAAGAATTTTGATTTATCGTCACGATAAATTTTGATTAAAAAAAAAATCTCACTAAAATGTTAATTTTACTATTTTTCCATTTTTTTCCATGAGAGAATCAATAAATATCAGTAGATTTGAAAGTATAATTAATTGCATAAAGTCTCTATGTGGAGTTTATTGATTTAAATCACTTTTCAACACCATCATTTATGTTTGTGGCAATTACATCAAAAATTTCAACACTTTCATTTTTAATTGCATCTTTTATATTTTTTATTAACAAAAGTCCAAAGAGGAACCGTTGTATCTACATGTTTCTGGTACCCCCGTAAATCTGACGCACAAGCAACATCCGCTAACAACAAACAGGGAAACTGAGCTGCTGCTTTCAGCTCCCTGGGGTTTAATTTCTGCTTCTACATGATCTGATGGAAAAGACTGTGGTTGTGCTAAAAGGAGTTAGCCTAGCAGTGAAGCTATGCTAGCCTAAAATAGCATCTAAATGCTAACATGTAGATTCAGAGGCTCTGAGTCAAACCCTCTGAGCACCCTGTTCCCCTCCTGGCCTGTGGGGGCGCTCACATACGAATTCAAACTGAACCAGAAGTCACTTCAACTGAACCCAGACCGAGGTTCAGAGGTCGATTAGCATTCACACCTCACCAACCAAACCGGACTTTTCTGCATCCTGAAATAAAAACATTCGTCCTGCAGAACAAACTGGTGGTTTTCTTCCAGCTACATCCAGGCAGAGCCGCCAGCCTGCTGAGCTGTTAATGTTCGGAGGAAAGAAAATAGATTTGTTTGCAGCCATAATTGAGCTTTTAATGGGATAAGTCAGTGTGCTGGTGTTTCAGCAGCAAGTGCTTTTAGAAAAAGTAGCTTAATTATTTTGTTGATTAATGGAGGAAATGCACTTACATCACCATCTATTCGCTGCCATTTAAAGGCAGCGCTAATCGCTGGGCTGGGAGCAGAACAAGTGACTTTATCTGAAATTAAAAGTCAGCAGAGATGTTTGTGGTCAGTGGAGATTAGAGTCGGAACCAGAATCTGTTTCCTGATGTTTGAACAGCGTCTTGTTTCTGCATGTTTGAAAACACAGATGGACTAAAAACCAGGACATTTACTGAGCCGATACCTGGGAGTAAAATCTGTGAAATGTCCCTTTAATCGTCTAAATATGACCGTCCGTTCTCTTTAAACTCCAACACAGATCTGCCTCAACAGATCAGGTCCAACCGGGTTGAGTTCTCACCAACCCAGCCTGACTGACCTTTGACCCCCAGCAGAGTGAAGGATATGAATGGACCAGGATCCGGATGGCGAGCCTGCGGATGGGGTGGAACGGGCTGAACATGTAGAGCGCCGACGTGGCGCTGAAGCGGAAGATGGCCTTCCCTTTGTTCAGCACTATGAAAGTCTGCCAGAGAAACAGAAACGCTTCACTGCAGAAACAGCAAATACTACTGCTCCACACTGCAAAAAATGATTTAACCGTTTTCTTCTATAGGACCCAACCTGAGCCTTAGAAATCAAACAATCACTTCCTGCTGGTTTTATGAGATAAACATGAATGAATGATGGAAGTCAGGATTATTTGGATGTTTTGTGTTTGGACTCATTCATCAGAACAGGCAGATCTGGAGCCACCAGCTGTTCTGTCATAACTTCAACTAAAAGTGATAAACAATCATTTAATATTTTACACACAGATATAATAAATAGTGCAGGTTTTAGCAGTTTTTCTCTGAATAATTGCTTTGAATTTCAAGAGCAGAATTACGGAAGCCTTTCACTGCCAAAACCGGGAAATAAATTCAGGATCTTGTGAAAAGCTTAGATTTGTGTCTGGTCAGAACCATGTGGACAGGACGCTACCCTCTGGTCCCTGAAGTAGTAGGGGTCGATGTCCTCCAGGGGAACGCCCACCAGGTGAGACGGGATGTCGGCAAAGATCCGGGGCAGCTGCTTCCCCGCCTCCAGGTCGGGCCGGGGCCGGGGCAGCTCCACATCGCCCAGGTCCTTACAGACAAAACAACATTTATGATTATGGCGTTTCGTCTGCCTTCATTTTGTTTGTATTTTCAGTGAGGGAACAGGAACTTTCTGTTTTGGAGTAGAACTGGTAAATGCGACCCGAATCCGATTTACTTTGCTCTTATCTGATTTTTTCAGAGAAACCTAAACGGCCCAGTTCAGATCTACTCGCCCCAAAAATCTGCATACAAAGTTCCTCTATATGTGGAACTAACTCAGATGTCGCATTTTATCCGACTCTTACGTTACTGATGCGTCATAATAATAAAACAACCAGACAGTAAAACTGGACATGAACAACGGTTCGTCTGGTTCTGATCTGGTGACGATGCTCTGAGAAAATGATAAAATCCATCCACAGATGGCGGCGGCGGCCATCTTTACGCTTTCCGACCCCAAAGCGAGTCACACAGAAGTCGCATTTAATGAAATGTATGAAATACTACACAAAAAAACAAAATTAAAAGAAAAATTAAATCGCATTTCAGCCAAAAACTCTGAATTGAGCGCTAACGTAGCATCAGTTAGCTTAGCATCACAATTTGACCCAACAAAACCAAAATCCTGGGTTTTAATCTGAGCGAAGTTGGACCTCCACTTTCTTCAAAACAGACTAAATTTTGTGTCAATCAACTCAAATATGTTTGTGCAGCAAACATTTTCATTTGTGTTGCTTTTGATGATGACCTCTGACCTCGGTGGAGGGCAGCTTCACTCAGGAACTAAAAGGTTTCAGTTTTAAACAAAATGTTGCCTCCAGATTTCAGTGGAAAACATTAACAGGTTTAACTACGGAGTTCACTAATGTTTATAAGAATAACTTTATTATTTTTCATTTACAGATAATGATGGATGTTAGCCAACAATAAAGGCTAACCCGGGTTAGCTGACAACCCGTTCAGGAGGTAAACTGGTTACTTCCTGTTTCCGTTTCTGGTTAGTATTCCCAGGCGGGCGCCGGCCCAGGCGGGCGCCAGGCGGGTCCATACGTACCTCCTGGTACTGCTTTTTGCGTCGGGCCTCCTCCTGGGCGATGCGCTGTTCGATGGCCGCCAGGGAGTCCGGCGTGAAGCGCTTAAAGCTCTCTGGTCCCATTGGAAACACGTAGCCAGCCATCTTCTCATCCTGATCCTGCTGCTAACTGGCCCGGTATACCAGCTGCAGACACACAGACCACACGCTTAGATGTCCAGCATTTCTTATCGTTATTCTGCTTCCCTCTTCACCTACCGAAGCATGCCTCAAACAGAAACAAAGAGTATTTTCACATTTTTATGCCTTTGCTCCAGAAACGAGCCTCCTCCTGTAATCGGGTGTCAGACTGTTCAGACACCTGTTGAGAATATTTGGGATCGTTAAATCATGAGATGAGGAGCGTTTGATTCGAGGACCTGCAGAGTGAGGATGATTTGGCGGTTTCTTCTCTGCCAGGTTGATTACGTCCTCTGAGACGGCGACCTGCCGCTCAGGACGACCCACAGCATCGCAGGCTTCGTCATTAGAGCCGCACTCAGAGGCTCCAACAGCCAGCAATCAGCCTGAGAAACTCATCTACCTCCTCCTGACGCTCCTTACTGTACGCTCTGGGTTCCCTTCGTTTCTGAATCATCAGTTGGTCTCTGTTCCAGTTTCAACAGGAGATCCCATAAAAGCAACAACTGTCTGCTGAATGTATGAATGTTACAGTCAATAATCTGCAGCTTGGTCTGTTTTAAGCTGCCGTCGACTGTCAGGGGGCCAGGAATCATACAAACAATTAGATTTAACTTTCTAGCAGTGACTGAAAAGATAAATAAGTACAAACTGTGTAGTAATTAGATACTAAAATACCTGTTAGAGGAATAAATGAAGCCTGAATATAACATGTTAACACTAAAGGAATGTTGATGCTACTTTCTGGGTTGCATATTTTCACAAATATGTAAACATCAAAACGCCAAAGATTAGCAGCATTTTAGGTAAAGCAGTGTAACAAATAGTCATTACTTATTATACCAGATAAAGGCTAAACTAAACTAGCTTCAAACCTGCGACCGCTGTTATAGCTGCTATCATTTGGCTACTATAATACCTGCTAACATGTGGAAAATATATTACCTGCTCACCTGCAACAACATTAGCTGCCAACCTGTCACCACTACAGCAGCTACTAACTGATAGCAAACATATTAGCTGCTAATGTAGCAACTATAATAGCTGCTAATTTATAGAATCTAACAGTTGGATGCTCTTATAGATGCTAACCTTTGATATACTATAAGCATATCAAACTGACTGACCTGATAAATGAGTGATTTCTACATTAGCTACAGCAGCTGAAAGATCCACAAACCCTCGTTTGGCTTCCTGTTTATCTGCTGAATATTCAGAAAGTAATAATCTGTTAACTTTTACTGGTTCATTTAGAAATCCCAGTGGACAGTAGTGGTTTACCGCAGCCAAGCAGAAGAAAGCGAAGCATGCTAGCAGCTAATGCTGTTAGCTTCAAAAGCCTAGACTGAGAGTGTGTGAGTGTTTAACAGGTGTGTGTCCAGGCCATCTGCTGCGGAGCCTAATCCAATGATTGGACAGGCCTCGTTTTTCAAGCCTTCATGCATTTCTTCTTCACAGCTCTCAAATCTGATTTCTGCAGTGTGTGTTTGTGTCCACATGAAAGGAAAAGTTGGCTCTGGTTCCTGTTCTTATCAAATGCTGTCATCCACTCAGTCACACACACACACACACACACACACACACACACACACACACACACACGTCAAGTACAGTAGCTCCTGATGAGCTCCTCAGCCCTGCTTTCCATTCTGCTGCCACACTTTGTCACGTACTAAAAGCTCAGGACTCATCAGGGAAACAATAAACCTGCTGAAATTATCTACAAGCAGCAACATGACAGCAACGATAAGGCAGTCTGACTGGAAGATACACTGAATATTATATCACCACCTTCCTAAACTAATGGCCAAAAAATGAATTATGTTTATAAATATTCAACCAAGTCCAGTTGAAAGCCAGAAAACCAGAGATTAGCTTGTTTTATGCTCAGTTACCATGGCAACCACCATCAGCTCCAATAGCTCTTATTTAACTTTGATTTATCTCTTTACATTTCATATATCTATACACTGACGAGGCGCGTTCACTAATAGAGTGAAAACATGTGGCGGGCTTCCTAGGAACCAAACCGGCTGTTCCTTCAGCTAGCCTTATGCGTCGGCCATCTTGGATTTTCAGCTCATTGGGTTTGGGTTCAAATTCAGGGTCAGAAACATTCAGAGATCACATTTTAATGTTTATTAAGTCACTGTGATGCATATTCCCCAGCTCAGACTTTCCCAAGATGCATTGCAGGTAGAAAGGAAGATTTTAGTAATCTGAACAACGGCAGACGAACCAGGAGTTTTAAATGTTAAATAGACTATCTTTAGCATTCTGCTAGTTACACACTCAGACACACCAAGAAATGTTCAACTCTCCATGTCAGAAACAATAAGCTCCATTTTACTTTTTCTGCTGTGAACATGAACATTAATGTCTCCAATTATAAACATCAGAGCTTAAATAAGGTAAATCCTGCTGTTGTGTGTAAACTGTTAAAAACTAAAGGAAAACTAAAAACCAAACCAAACTAAAGTCAGTTTGAGGAAACCAGAGATCCAAATGTTTGTTTTTACACTCAAGAATAAAAAATAAAGTAGAAACAGCCTTTATTTTCCCACAAAGGGAGAATCAGGTAAAAAGATTCACTGAAGACGTTCTTAGTGTTGGATGCAGCTTGTTTACTGCTGCTTCCAGGCCCTGCTCCCGTGTGTGTGTGTGTGTGTGTGTGTGTGTGTGTGCGCTCTTCCTCTCATGCAGCCTCCATCGGGTTCTTTAGCGAACCTCCTCCTCTCTCTGTTTCCTCTCATCACATCGTGTGACTTTAACCTCTGGAACAAACTGATCCTTTTTACCGACAGCAGGTTAAATTTCATTTAGTCCAAATTCTGCAACAAAAACATCCAAGAGGCTAAAAACCCTTCAGGAATGTTTTAGATTTATGAAAATTGAGGGTTTAAGTTCCAGATCCACTTCTGTGATGATTCCTCTGGTTCACATTCAGAAATCATGAAACCAAAAACCGACCGCCAGAAGAGCATCAAACACGCAGTGAGACACGGTGGTGGCAGCAGCATGTTGTGGGGTCACGTTCCCCAGATGGAGCCGATATGAATGAAACGGTTTGACTGTAGAACTTCATCTCGGCAGCAGAACCAATCAGAACCTTTAAATGGACCCATAAAAACAAGAACCATCAATCCGGGAAAAGCTAGACTTTCAAAATAAAACTAAATCCAAAACTAATGGGTCGGATGCAACAATGATCACTGAGAAACTCAACTGTGATAAAGACGAAACAACACATGATTCAAAAGCAAGAGATCATAAAGAAAATCAGAAGTACAAGCTTTTATTTTGGTAGTCCACTTCCACTTATTGATACATAACTAATTATCTAAACAAGCTAATTAATTAGCTTGTTAGAAAACAAGCTAACTATTTAGCTAGTTAGCTAAAGATTTAATTGGTAAATTGAATAATATGACTGAAAAATGAACTGCCTTTGTTTCTCCTAGGAGGGCTAAATAAATAAAATGTTTATTTTTTACAGTGTAGCTTGCAGACGGGCTCCCACGGATCTGCACAGCCTCTAAAGGGAAGTTCTGCTGGTCCGGTGGACCGGTCCGTAATGGTTCTGCTTCACATCGTTTCATCTCAACCCGTTCCTCCTCCAGAACCAGGAACTTCCTGGAAGCTCTGTGCTGCAGTTTGGAGGCAGCACAGTTAGGGGGCGCTGCTGCTTCCCTGGCTTATTCAAAACTTCCCACTGGCTGGTGCTTCAGTCTGACCAATCAGATCATCAGAAACTGAAACGATCTGAATAAATGTTGACTCAACAAGACAAACCGATCAGTTTTAGACTGAACTGATGGTACCCTGATAGGACCCAGCAGGACATGTATGGACTACGCGGTGCGTTCGAGGTCCCGTGTTTCAGTGGGAAAACGCAGCACCTTCAGTCCAATTAGTCTGAGAGGAGAAGGTGCGTTCGGTCACGGCGCTGCCGACCCGCCGGACATGAATCAGTGGATCCAGGCAGGACGCCAAACCCGGCTGGCAGAGGACGGAGGGGACCGGGGCGTCGCCATGGCGATGCAGAACGAGATTCCCCCACATCTGCTGATGTAATGTTCTGCAGAACCGCTGCAGCGTCACCACTCCCTCCCCAGCAGCACTGTCTCTCATCCCATTTTACTTACTGCTAAGTTTGTTTCTGAGTAAAAAGTTGGAGATTAGTGGCACAAGGTAAAAAAGAAAAACATTGTTTAATTCCTAAAATTTTCTAACATAAATTTGTTAAGTTTGTTTGAAAACACAAAAAGTCTCTATCTAAGTTGCATCAAGGGGCCACACAGCTACTCCAAGGGCCACATATGGCCCCTGAACCGCGCTTTGGACTCCGAGTGTTTCTCATTCAGCTGCAGATCTAAATGATCTGAAGAATCCCAAAGAAAACAGAACCGATAAAGATCTACACAACGAACAAGGAAATCCAACAATCTGGTCCCAAAGTTTCAAAATGGCGGACGGATGGCGGCGCGTCAGGACTGTCGATGGATCTGCTGCAGGATTCCATCTCAGAGAATCACGTCTCATTAGATAAACCCTTCATTTCTGTGGATTTTCCTTCTGTGAACAAACTGAGCCAATGAGGAGCTGAAGATGATTTATGGATGAAACGTCTCAACACTGATTGGTCAGTTAGACGACCACATCCTGATTTAACTGAATAAAACCAGGTTTTTGGTTTCCTGTCTCTCTCTCTTTCTCTGTTTTCCTGTCTCTCTCTCTCTGGTTTCTTGTCTCTCTCTTTCTGGTTTCCTGTCTCTCTCTGGTTTCCTGTCTCTCTCTCTCTCTGGTTTCTTGTCTCTCTCTTTCTGGTTTCCTGTCTCTCTCTGGTTTCCTGTCTCTCTCTCTCTCTGGTTTCTTGTCTCTCTCTTTCTGGTTTCCTGTCTCTCTCTGGTTTCCTGTCTCTCTCTCTCT